TGACTGGAGACACAGGGAGACATGTTGAAGGAGCAGCGTGACCCCAAGTCCTGTCATCTCCAGCCATCCGTTTTCACCCCGGGGACTCTCCACTCGCTGAAGCAGAGCCGCCCATGGATTCAGGGGAGAGTGGGCATGGCTGAGATCCAGGTGTGGGGATTAACTCTGCTTCTCAAACCGATTCGTTTCTCTACAAGAGCCTGGAGAAGGCAGACCCTGGAAAATACGATCCTGGGTTGGCAAGGGAGTGATTTTGTGGCAAGAGAGAAAAAGGATCTGTGATTTCCAAGGAGGAAGTAACTCGGAAGAGTGAGCAGGCGCGTTTATTACAAGCCCCCGAGGAGAGGGGACGGAGGAGATGATGTAAACGGTGGTTCCTTACCATCCAGGAGGGCTCTTCAATTCCAGACTGAGGGCCAGCGCTCGGGCAGGGGACCCAGAGGGTTTTAGAAGGGTTTCCAGGCAAAAACGTGGATGGGACATGGCAGAAGCCAGTGGAAGAGAGAGTGATTGTAGAGAGAATGAGGAATCTAGCCCACCAATCGCTACCCAGAGGACAGGTGAGAGGACAGCTGGGACGTCTCTGGGAGGGGTTTAGCGAGATGGCAGTTGGGTGGGGGGGGGGTGTCAGGAGGAACATCGTTAGCACCGTGGAGGGGGCAGAAGAGAGAAAGAGGTGGATGAAAGTGTAAGTAGAGACAAGAATGTGGGGCTCTCGCTAGGACTGACTTGTGTTGCCTGTCCCCCTACCCCCCTGCAAAATACATCCTGGAATCTGAACCTTAATACTCAAGCGATACGTCAAACCAATGGGGAACAGGTGTTCTTTGCACATGAGGCCAGGCCACTGGGGAGAGGGAAAGGAGGAGATAAGATGCAGAGGGAAGGATGCCACAGGGGGGTAGCCCAGAGCCCAGCAGCCCCCACCAGGGGCGAGAGAAGTGGAGAGAAAGATTTCCCCCAGAGCTGACTGGGAGGGAGAGAGGGAGAGAGAGAGGAGAGGGTGCTCTCCTCTGGGGCAGGGAACTCTTAAAAAACCTCCCAATTCTGACTCACAGCGACCCCTTAGGACAGGGTAGAACTGCCTCTGTGGGTTTGGGAGGTTGTGAGGGTTCAGGGAAGTAGAAATCTACATCTTTCTTTCCCACAGAGCTGCTGCTGGTGTCAAATGGCTGACCTGGAGGTTGGCAGCCCAACGTGTAACCAGGACACCACCAGCGCTCCCTCCAAAAAAACAAATAAACAAAAAAACCTCTCTGCCATCCAATTGATTCGGATGCATAATGACCCCATAGGACAGGCACACTGCCCAGGAGATTCCAGACCCTGACCCTCCACGGGAGAAGAAAATACCATATATACTCGAGTATAAGCTGACCCAACTATCAGCCGAGGCATCTAATTTTACCACAAAAACTGCATTAAAATGTGCTTTTACATGAGTATACATGGTAGCCCCATCTTTCTTTCAGCCAAGGACCATTTGGATATTTATAGCCTCATTCTCAGTTGGTACAAAATGATCACCTTAAAAATTAGCCTGCTGTACTGGCTCCCACAATTCATGAACGCCCCCTTAATGTCAGGTTAGTAGGAATGGAGGATTTCACAGGCCTGATATGGCTTGCGGGCCAGAGGTTCCCCACCTCCAGCTTAGGGGGAAGGGACAGTGTTCTTAATTCAGACCTCCAACCCCCTTGCAATGAGAAGATAAATGTCTGTTCTTTAAACCCACCAGGTGGAGTAGTGCTTACACACTGGGTTGTGATCCGAAAGGTCTGAAGTTCAAAACCACCAGCCACTCTTGGGAGAAAGACAGGACTTTCTAATCCCATAAACAGATATAGTCTTGGAAACCCACGGGGTGAGTTCTCCCTGACCTACAGGGTTGCTATGATTCATCGGCTTGAGTTTGTAAAGCCACCACGTGTGGTCCTTGTGGCATCCGAGGCCTCTTTGCAGAACCTTGAATGCGCACCAGGAGATGAGAGAGTGCCCCTTACTTCAAGAAGGGTGTGTGATCAAGAGAGGGATTCCTGACATATCTGAGTGCTGACCAGTAGATTCAAAGTGTCTGAGCAAAGTCCTGTGAAATCAGCAGGGAGGGCAGGGCCCGCCCACTTGTCTGAGGTCTGGTGTGGGAAGGAGTGGCCCAGACCTCCTGCTGTGGAGAACGCAGTGGACGGGCAGCCTCCACTGCCGCCCTTCTCAAAGCACCCACGTGGGAGCTAGGATTCCCAGGGGGCTGTGCCCAGCCGGCCACGAAGCACGCGCGCGGGGCTGTTCCTGGGACAGGGTCGGCAGGAGGCCTTCTCTCTGCTGTTGTCCTTTTTTGTTAAGTGCCATCCACCCCTAGTGACCTGTTCCACAACAGAAGAAACCACAACCAGGCCCTGTGCCACCCCCAAAGTCTCCCGGAGGGCCTCCCTCTTTTCCCTGTCCCTCCACGTTACCAAGCACGATGTCCTTCTCTAGGGGCTGGCCTCTGCTGACACCATGCCCAAAGAATGTCAGGGGAATTCATGCCGTCATTGCTCCGCAGGAGCACTCTGGCCGTACATCTTCCAAGACAGATGAGTTTGTCCCTTTCCGCCGTCCGTCCGTGGTCGTTTCAACACTCTTCTCCAGCACCGCAATTCAGACGCATCCACTCTTCTCTGGTCTTCCTTATCCGGTGTCCAAACCTTCCCTGGAAACATGCTGCAGTCCAAGGCCCTTCCAGTCCACTCTGCCTTCCCTCCTCCTCTCCCTCCCAGCTGCTGCACCTGCCTGCCTGCCTGAAGGACCTCCTTTCCCTCTCTACTCCCTCTCAGACATTGCCCCCATCCTCATCAGCCTGGGCCATCTCTAACCAATCCTGCCTCCCCACCTGTCCAGAGGGACACTGCTACTGACCACCAAGGCATCTCTCCTCTCAGCCACAGACTTGCCTTTCTGGGTTCCTGAGGACAACTTCTACCAGAATATCACACTGCCCCCGCTTGTTTTCCTCTTCCGCCAAATTTATCCTTCACACTGTTATTAGAGTGACCTTTCTTTATATATATAAAGCTTGTGTGGAGAGGTTCTCTGGAATGACAGTCATTAATTAGGACACTGTGCTAAGCCGTCTGTACACATTATTTCATCTAATTTTCACCCAAAGTCTCTGGGTTAAGCACACCCGCATCTTCTCTCGGGATCAGTGGGCAGCCTGTCTGGGAAGCGTTGGACTGTTGTCTGGGAGGCTCAGATGAACCAGAGGGGCAGAAGCAGAAGGGAATTGTGAGAGGAATAGCTGCTTGGTGGGTCAGGCTCGAGAGAATGTGTGTGTGTGTGTGTGTGTGTGTGTGTGTGTGTGTGTGTACGTACTCCAGGAACAAAGAGAAGTACATGCTAGTGTCATCTGAGAAGCTGGCCCTAGGGAAATAAATGCTCACTGGTTCCCAGCACTGAGCATGTACAATGGAAGATTAACCAGTTAATGAAGTTAAAAAAAAAATCAACCAAGTATTTCTTCTTCTTTTTTTAAAAGAAGCGTCCATATGTTGTGAACGAGTTTGCATGTATTGGGAAGGCTGCATGTGGATGCAATAATTCAACACTTGGCTTTGAACCAAAAGGTGGGAGGTTCAAAACCGCCCAAGAGCTCCGATAGAGAAAGACTGATGGTCTGCGCCAGAGAAAGCCCAGTGTAGGACACACTTTGAGCTACTTCCACGCCATCACGTGAGGGTCCAGGAGTCCAACGTGACTCGATGGCATCTAACAATCGCAACACCATGCATATATTAAAACATGCACATCTACACATCACTGCCACTGAGTCGATGGACAGACACGGTTGAACTGCCCCTGTGGTTTTCTGAGGCTGTAACTCTTTATAGGAGCAGAGAGCCTGGTCTTTCTTCTGAGGAGCGGCTGGTGTTTTTAAACTGTTGACCTTCAATTAGCAGCCTAACTCGGAACCACTATCACATTAGGGCTCCCTTTATCTGTACACACACACACGTGCATGCATACGTGCATATAGCTTTATGCATGCAAAGAGCTTCAAAAAGTTCAGTGTAGAATCCTGTTACCTTTTTTTTTTGAGAAGTGACCCGGGTGGCGTTTGCAATAGTGATGACATAGCAGCCAGCACTGTATCAGACAGCACTCTGTTGTGACCCATCTGGTTTCCATTGGCTGACTATTTTTTTTCCTTCTAAGTAGATTGCCAGCCGTTTGTTCCTAGTCTGTCTGAGCCTGGAAGTTCGGCCGGAACCCATTCACTGTGTGCTGCTGCTACGATCTGAGAAGCCAGCGGCACAGCTTCCAGCACTTTATCAGGCCGTGTCATCTGGTGACCTGTGGGGCTTCTCAAAACCATCCCAGTGAAACCCTGTGGATTGCCAGACCCGACCAGTCTCACTGTCACCCAGTCAATGCTGACTCACAGCGACCCTACAGGACAGGGTGCAACAACCCCGCGGCTTTCCGAGCCTGTAACTCCATACGGGAGTAGAAAGAGCTCTCTCTCTCTCTCTCTCTCTCAGTAGCTGGTGGTTTACAACCACTGACTTTGTGGTCAGTAGCCCAACGCGTAACCACTACTCCACCAGGGCTCCCACGGATTGCATCAACCTCTAATTTCATGCTCCCACACACTTTGTGTTATTGCCCCTCTCTGTATTTCCCAGCAGTGGCCCTTTAAAACGTCATTGGGGCTTTTGTCAGCAGCCCCACTCATGCTCTCCTGGAGGTCTCTAGGAAGGGGAAGGTTCTTCTTCTTCCGGTCTGACAGGTCGCCCAGGGCCCTGCCCATCCTGCTCATCCTCTCCAGCCAGACACCTTCTCCGCTTCTCCCTCTCCCTCTCTGCAGAGGCCCAGACCACCCTGGTGAATCTGCCGCCATCGATTCAGGAAAAGGCTTTGATTCGGCAAACCCCAAGCTGTTCCTCATGAAACTATGACAACTTGGTATTAGCTGCAAATCAATGAACTTTTTAAATGCCGAGGAAGCAACAAAACTCGCTTACCGCTAAAGCTTGATAAGCCCACGCCCCGGAACAGCCAGCCCTTTATCTTCACAAGCCATGCAATCTTCCTCCCTTTGATAGCCTCTCGCCAGCAGGCATCGATAAGGATTACGACCCCTCTCCTGGGAGCTACCGGTCTAAACATTTCTAAGGGGGGAGTGGAATTGAAGGGACTCTCTTCCGCTGAGGGGCGGGGACAGGCCACTCATCACCGCCACATCATTCCCACAAAACCAAAACAAACCCACTGCCTTCAAGTGGGTGCCGACTCATGGCGTCCCTAGAGGCCAGGGTAGAACTGCCCCCCGCACTTTCTGAGACCCTAACGCTTTATGGGAACAGAAAGCCCCGTCTTTCTCCCTCAGATCAGTTGGGGGATTCCAACCGCTGGCCTTGCAGTGAGCAGGTCGGTCACTAGTGTGCCTCCAGGTCTCCTGTAAAGAGCATCCCCAACGCCCCTCTTTTCCACCCCAGCTATTCTTTATGGAAAGCACTGCCCCTGGGACATGATCCGGGAGCTGAAGCTGTGACTCAGTGCTCTTGCGACCCAGGGCACGGTTGATGGGGCTGCAGGCCTCTCTGCCCCAAGCCCTGGTCCAGACCAGTCACCTGGCCCCTTGCTTCTGGGCACAGCGCTCTGAGTCTCTCTCTTCTCTTTCTGAGTTGGTAAGGTGGATATGATGGGGTCACTTTGACGTCTGCCTTTGGCCTAATCATTCTCACCCTTCATTCCCTTGGGCCATTTTTAGCGGGTCAGAAGACACACTTGAATAATGCCAGAGAGCAATAGGGACCACTACCGCCATGGGGAGACCCTCAGGAGGGGGCCTGGGCAGATCATTGCCTGTCCCACCGTGCCCAGGTGTCCTTCCCCATCAGCTCTGATGACCTGAGGCCTCATGGTCATTGTGCTGCCTCGATGCTCAACTTGCCACATCTCCAGTCTCCACCTGGCCAGGCCTGACCTGTCAATATCTCTGGGTCCCTCCCTTTACCGTCTTCTTTTTTCCTGCCACTCCTCCTTCTAGCTTGGGCATCATTCCACAACCTCTCTCCCCACTCCCCTTCTATTCTGACCATCACTCCGGCAGCTTGGGGCAGGTGACACCCTAGAGCCCCCAGCTCAGCTATCCCTCCTGGCTGTCATCCTCTGTCCTGCCCTCTGCTGGGGCCACCACACAGAGGCAGCCACAGATCCCCCCTGGCACTGGAGCATGGGACCCTCTAAAGCGAAAGGGTGTTAAAATCCTGGGGTGTAAACAAATGCTGCCTGAGGTGCACGAGTCCTGCTGCAAATCAAAACCACACCCGCTGCCTTTGAATCAGCTCTGACCCCTGGAATAACTCACAGGGCAGCAAGTCAGGCCTTGCAGGAGGCTCGTGACAAGGAGCTCTGGAGGCACAGTGGTTACCAGTTGGACCGCTGAACTTGAGCTCCGCCTTGAGGACCAGCAGCAGCACCCCTGGAGGCAGACCAGGCTTTCAACAGTTTCTCCAAAAGAGTTGCCGTCTCGGGAACACACAGGGACAGTTCTACCCTGTCCTGTAGGCCCGTAGTGTAGCTCTGAACCGGCGTCGACTCCATGGCAGTGAGGGTGAGTGCTTAGTGGAAGCAGGTCACCTTCCTCCCCTGGCAATGCTGGGTGGGTTGGCCAACCGTGCGATTAATAACCCAACAATCAATCCATGCTGTTGAGTGGCTTCGGACTCAGCCATCCCATGTCGGGCTTCAGAGACTGTAAATCTGCTCAGGAACAGACAGGGGTAATCTCTCTGGATGCAGATGGTCAGGCGATGTCCACTCATTGCAACCCTGCAGGGCAGGGTCGAATGGGCCCTGGGAGTTCCTGAGACTGCAACTCTTCCCAGGAGTAGAAAGCCCTGTCTTTCTCCAGCAGAGCGACGGGTGACTTTGAACGGCTGACTTTGCCATTAGCAGCCCAATGAGTTACCATGACGACACCGGGGGCTCCCTGTCGCGAAGCAAGCCCATCCTCAAAATGTAACCCCGCTGTGTACTTGAAGTTATCTTTGGAGACTCTAAATCCCGCCTCACAGAACCAGGGAGGGGACCTTGTGGCGAGGCCATGGCGCTAGTTGGTTGCTCTGGCCTGAGGTCACCTCCAGGGAGCAGGCTGGCGGGGAGCACACAGCCTCCTGACAGACTCGCTCTCAGATGACAGCATGTGCTAGTTCATTTTATGGATGGAGGGCTTCAGTCTTGCCCGTGGGAACGGTGTTGACAGGTCCCTGCCCTAATCCGTCATTTCTTCTTGGCACACTTGCCTCTGAGCTGCTCCATTTGGATGGTGATGATCCAGGGGCTTGAGCTGGCTCAGAACACCATCCATGCTGCAAAACCTTACCATCAGCCTACTGGTCCACATCCCTGTGAACGGATGGATGGTGGGCGGCCGGGGCATCCTGAGCATCTAAGCAATGGAGTGAGCTGTTGCCTTGCAAGTGAGAATGAAACGGGACTCTCGGAAAAACCCACTCCACTCCATTTGAACGTGGAATTCGGTCTGACCTCGGGTCAGTCCTTGCCATTCTGACTCTAACCACAGCAGTGTGACTCAGGTCTCGGGGAATGTTAATCGTCTGGGGTGTCTGCCAGGACCATCAAGTTTAGCGCAGAAATCGTCCCTGGCCACAGAATCACAGGCTGAGATAGTAGACTCATAAATGTCTGCGTTGCGGACACATTGTAAATAAGTTGTGCTGACAATTTTCTGGCTCCTCACGGAAGATGTTTGACAGAGAGGACGACGCGCTTTGTGGCTCCTGGGGAAGAAGGGAGACATAGGATTCCGAGAATCACTCCAGCAAGTGAATCAAAGCCCAGGAGGGATGACACAGAGCTCTGTCTGTCCAAGCAGAGCCGGGGGCCTTCTAAAGAGGAGTTTCATCACGTGGAAGTTCCAGTAAGAAAGGACCAGGGCAGCGTGGGCCCTTTCCCTACAAGCTAACGGCACGGATGCACTGCTGGGGACCAGTTACCCGCAGCTCACTTGTGGAGCATTCTGGACTCTCTGAGACACAGAGGGGCATCTTTCCACCCTCAGCTCCAAAAGGCTCACTCCCTCTGTGAACAGTAGAGGTTTATCTTGTCCCACAAGTCCTCACACAAATCACATGAAGGGCAGCTATGGCCACAAAGTTCTTGGGGCCAAATCCAAATTCAATTAAAAGTAAATTTTGGTGATAAAAGGAAACTTATGAGAGAATCGGGACTCGATGCCTTTCGATGCAGCTTCCTACGCATTCCTGTTGTGGTTCCAACTTCCGAATTTTGGGCAAATTTTTCACGTCCCCCTCGCGCCCCCACCTCCTCCATGGCCTTTGGATTCAGAGAACTTGTCTACCCTTCTGCTGGTGGTTTGGATGGGTTGACCTTCTCTTTGTAATTGTTTTTAAAGCTGTTGAATGTTAGACTTTCATTCAGGAGAACTTCAAAGCCGGGGATTATTTTTGAAGACAGGGCCATTCACTTGAAGTAAGATGGGGGTGGGGTGGCAAATAGGGTGGCAGGACAATCGTCCTCAGGACGGACAGCCCAGGACAAGACCACGTCGTCCCGTCCAGGCACGTACACTCATCTCAGGAGTCCAAGACGTGGTAGTGCTTGGGTTCAAACCCAGGTCTGCTCGGCTCTTGCCTTTGGATGGTTTACAGCCTCAATTTTGAGACTGCCCATTCGTGTCCAGTACTTTCCAAATTAGTTAGCAAGAAAGTAATTAGGAACCTAGACAGAGGGGCAGAAAGAAGTCCTGGGCCAACTCTGGGTAGAATGAGCTGTCGAAAACCCTTATGGAGATAGAGTATTCATGTCATTTGGTGTGCCCATTTAGAAGATGCAAGTCAATGGTGTGTTTGGTGTTGCTCTTTTCTTAGCGATATCTCCTGGGTTGTATAACCATCACCACCATCTAAGTCAGCGGTTCTTAACCTGTGGGTGTCGACCCTTTGGTGGGTTGAACGAACCGTCCACAGGGGTCGCCTGATTCATAACAGTAGCAAAATGACAGTGATGAAGTAGCAACAAAAATAATGTTATGGCTGGGGGGTCACCACAACATGAGGAACTGTATGAAAGGGCCCCGGCATGAGGAAGGTTGAGAACCACTGATCTCAGTTGAGATTTTAATCTCCCCCCAAAACCAACTCGGTATCCATTGGAAGTCCCTCATCTCTCTTGTGTCTCTCCACTCTCCCCCCACTGCTGTCCCCCTTAGAATCCACACTCTGTCTGGCTGGATTGACCCATCCTGGACATTTTCTATAAAAGGATTCGTACGACACGTGGCCTTTCCTGATTGGCTCCTCTCATTTTTGCATCATGTTTTCATCCGTGTTATCAGAACTTCAATACTCCATTCGCTGAACATCTCAGGAGGCCGGATGACAGATGCAGTGGGTTCTGTGTTGAACTGCCAACCTCAAGGTCAGCAGTTTGAAACCACCAGCTGCTCCACAGGAGATAGATGAGGCTTTCAACTCCTGAAAAGACCTACAGCCTTGGGGACTCAAAGGGGCAGTTCTACTCTGTCCTACCACAGGGCTGCGGTGAGTCAGATGCAACTGGATGACAGTAAAAAAAGAAAAAGAAGAAGAATAGATCGCATTACGTTTACCCTCTCATTGGTTGATGGGCCACGTGGGTGGTGTCTCATTCTCAGTTACCACGAGCAGCTCTGCTATGGTAGTTTTGTGTGACACTGTGTTTTCAGTTGTCTTAGGCTTCTACTTAGGAGTGGAATTGCTGCATCTACATTTAACCACTGCCGCGTTTCCCCAAGTGGCTGAGCCATTTGACCTTCCCACTAGCAGGGTACGAAGGTTCTGGTTTCTACATTCTCACTAACGTACCAAGGTCTGCATTTTGTTTTAATGGTAGTTAGTTTTTGATGGCAACTTTTCATTCTCTTTCTGGACCCTCGGGTGGTTTCCTGGCACGGCTGTCTAGGTCTACTGATGCCCATTGTCCCGGTTGCCTCTGAATTCCCATTGTCCCATGTCACCTGCCCTTATTGTGTGCAGAACTCATCCTTCCCTCGAAAACGCATCTGTTCCAAAGGCTCGTAGTACATGGCTCTGCTGTGTGGTGTTCTT